GCTGTCCCAGAATCATAAGCCAAATAAACCTCTTTTCCTTATAAATTCCCCAGTCTCAGGTTTTTCTGTTATAGCAACACAAAACGAACTAAAACAATTACATTCCTATACAGTATTATAGAAATTATGATATTGAAAATATAATCATATAATCATTAAAGTTGATATGTTCATTATAGAAATATATAACATAGAATGATAAAGAATAAAAATGAAATTCTAGGATTCTGCCATGAGATAACATTTGTGGTATGTTTTTGTTCAAATCTTTTTCCTGCACATATAATCTCTACATTTTGAACAAAAAGATTATAGAATGCTACCTTCTTCCTCACTTTTTACATAATAAGCTAAGTTTTCTGTATTATTAAATATACTTGAACATGTATTTTACTTGCTTAAATGGATCTTATTTTATGGGTATAACAAATTATTTAAACTATTCCCCAATTCTTGATACTCATAGTTTGGGGAGGACAGAATCTTATATATCTATAGAAAGGAACATGTTTTCCTCTTTCTTTCCCTATAGTTGCACATTTATTTTTGTTCCTTTTGTTCTGCTGCATTGCTTAAATATTATTTAACCTTGCTGAACAAGGCCAAATAATATTAGCAAAAATGTCATATTCATGATCTTAATAAACATCAGCTAAGTTTTCATTGATACTTCTGGTGGTCCAACACCAAAAAGTAATTGTAAACTAAGTATTTAAGGATCTATAAATATGTATAAATAGACTATCTAACTAGAATAAGTTATGTGAAAATGTCAATAATATTCATTACGTCAATTTCAGGTATAAATTTCTCTTCCTCTCTAGATAATACTTCCTTTTGTCATGAGACCAACTTTCAAATGCCAAAATGTATTTCAATTTAATAGTAAAAGCTAGCAATCACTGAAATTAAGACAAGCTCTAAAGGTTTACTTGTAGCTAACAGAAAGAAGAAACAGTCTTGAATGGGAAAATGATGCCCCAAGAGGAAAACAGAGTAACACCATCGGAGAAATTCCTCAAGGCCCTCCCAGGACAAGAGAATCCTCACTGCCAAGTGCACCCTAGTGGCCAGAGAGCTCACCGGTGATAGGACCTGCAGTGAGGCTCTGATTTGGGTGATGAGACATCTTCTCTGTCTCCTTTTACCACAAATTATTGTTTTTCAGCTTCAAGAAGGAAACAAAAAAAAAAAAGAAAGAAAAAATCCTGAGACAAGCCTTTCTTTGCTGTACTCACTAAAAACAAGAATGAGTATTTATTCTAACACACGATCTTTTCAGCAAAGACAGTAATAAATGAATGCTGAAGGAAGGTTTGAGTAGTGCAGGAAGTCTAGGGGGCCTAAATAAAATCGGGAAAGGTAATTTAAGATACCTAGAGAAACAC